CTAGTGTGGGTGAAGTCTTGAGCTGTACCTACACCTACATTCCTCGTTTTTGAATTCTTACAAAATATCTTTTTTGCATCAACGATGTATATTTTCAAGTTCTTTATTATTGCTTTAGATGAAACAATTCTGTTCAGTGATACGACCTTCATATTAATTAATAACTGCACATCGTGTTTTTCGAAAATCCTTAGTCTCTTTGCAATGAAATCATATTTATATACCTTCTCCACATTCATATCGACATCTATTTTGAATACTCGCTCTTTTTCATTAAGATGGTGTGCTCGATCGCCAATAATTTTTTTTTTCATTCTTTCTTTATGTATAAAAATAACAATAGTGTGCTCATTCTGCACATGTACCCCGATGATAAACAAAAGAAGCTAAAAGACGATCCAAATAGGTTAGTGGAAAGAAAAAATTCTTTATTTTCCCTCTTCTAAATCTAATTTTTATCTTTCAGATCATCAAGAAAATCTTGCACTCATTTTCAAGATATTCCAAATGAAATTATCTATGACATATTCGAATTTCTTGATGTTTATCATATGTACACAGCTTTCTTTAATCTTAATATACGTTTTCAAAATCTCCTTACTGATTCAAATCTTCCCATCAAAATTAATCTCTCATTAACGTCCAGATCGACTTTTGAACATCAATACAAACATCTTATTATGCTTAATAAACATCGAATAAATTCACTTCGTTTATCAAATCTATTTACTATCGATGTGATTTTTTCACCAATTCGAATTGTATCAAAATTGACACGTCTTCAAGCTCTTCACATAAATAATATTCAATCCGAATATGTTGAAAAACTTCTAAAATATTTAGTATCTTTATCATGTCTCTCTTCATTGATTATCATTGTTATCGATTGCGTTGAAAATAAAAATCAACTTTATCGTCGAATATTTCGTCTACCCGTATTGAAATATTGCAAAATAACAATGACAAAATTTGTTGAATCTGAACCATTATCCATTGCAATTAATAAATATAGTTCTATTGAGCATCTTGTTATAAATAATGGTTGTTATTTGCATGAGCTTATTTCTCTTTTATCATATATTCCACAACTTCGTCGTCTTTCATTGCGTGATCTATATGGAACTTTCATTGAACAAACAAAATCACATTCAATTGTGTTTAACTATTTGACACATATTTCTATAAATAAAACAAATATGACTTTTGATGAACTTGAATTATTGATTAAAAATCATTTTCCACAAATTCAAAGCTTGTAGTTTTCAAGAAATTTCGACAATGAATTTTAAAATGCAAATCGATGGGAACGATTAATTTCATCTTATATGTTACAATTACGTATTTTTAATTTTCATTGTATAATTTCTGCATTTAACCAATCGAATTTCTAAGATCTACTTGATCGTTTTAATTCGCCATTTTGGATTGAATGACGATGGTTCTTTGCTCACCATATGCGTTCGACATCAATTGATAGCTGTAATTGTATGACTATCTTTTCTACCAATCCGTATAGGTTCAAATAACTTTATTTATCTATTATAATATATCTTTGTTATTTCTATTTTTAAGGAGAAAATATTATACAATATATGGAGAGAATGGCGACAAATATTGCTCAGATGATCAAAAAATTAATTTGAATACAGTTCATTTTGTTCTTATCGAAAATATAAAGGCGATAAATGATTGTAATAATTATTTTCCAAATGCTACTGAACTTACTTTCATCTGTAAGTCTATTAATGAAAATAAAATTTATCTCTCGCCCATGCTTAATTCTATTCTTCCTTTAAAACAACTTACTAAATTAGTTTTTGATATTTATCATTATCGCCTTCCAACGATCATTGAACTATTATATTTCGCATCTAATATTCGTACATTAATACTTAATTGTACATCTCTTTGCGAATCAAGTTTTATATTTATTCAACAATATAATAAAAATTTTCAATTAGTATCAAAGAGAAATAAAATTTCTAATCTGGTAATTTTAACAGAATGCACATTCGAAGTGACAAAGTTACTTGTTAATCTTTGTCCTCAATTACAACATCTTACAATCAATATAAAAAAGGATGATTTCGTACGAACTTTACAATTTTTATTATCGAAAGATAGTCACTGTATTCGCCACTTATTCTCATTGTGTCTCCAACATGTATCTGAAGATCAAATTCTAATATTGAACGAACTTATTAAATCAGATAAACTATTTGGTAATTGTTTCATGAAAGTATCAGAACATGTCTCGGACAATGTTTATTTATGGTGGTAACATTGATTATTACCAATAGTAGAATATTTAATTCAGGAATGTTTGTTGATTTTCTTTTCTCGTCACGCTTTTTTAAGTGTGTCTTGACTTGATCTTTTCATTCAAATAAAAAACTATCGATGCATTGAAAATTTTGGTAGATGAAGTCATCTAAAAATAAAAATCAGAAAAGTACTTGGTTTTATGCTAATATTTTTATCCACACCAGTATATTAATAGAATATTGATCCACACTTCTTTTGAACCAAAGCTTCAAATAGGATGAAAAATTAGTTCTACCAATCAATTTGACTCCTCTCACTTTATTCTGTAACTATCATAAGGTATTTATACACCAGACCTCGAAACGGGCTGCCTGACCTGAGCTTTGTTCCTTTTCTCAAGAAAGATTTCTCACGTAAGAAAAAAAAAACCTGATTTTAATAGTGATGATCGTGAAGCGTGTTTTTTCTCTTGCGTTTTAAGTCGGAAATTTTGGCTTCTAATATTTCTGTCGAACTCCTTGACTGAACAAATGCCACCTAGAATATTGAATTAGACTTTGACAAATACAATGCTGACCATAAGTCCCAGGATGTGTGAAACCTCGTACAGTTTTGACCATTTTCCATGAAATTTTTACTCGAGATACAGCTAAAAAAATGTGATGCGAAGCATCAACCCCAGCCCTATCGATTGAGATAAGGTGGAGTTATGGTCTAAACACTACTTTCACCGCTGATTACATCTAAATCAATATTTAGAGTGGATGTAGATGTGGGTGTGGGCGTAGCTTTCTGTATGTGTTAGCTTTTCTTCACTGCCACATCCAAACCCACACCCACATTCATACTCTATTTAAGACTTTAACAGTTGAAATTAGAGCCCTACGGAACAATTCCGAATCCCGAAAAATCCTGTTTGTTTCGTCCCGCCAGACAATCGGGATTGTCCCGAAAATTTTTCGGGACGGAACAAACGGGATTCGGGACTATACAGAAAAACTGATGTCTCCAATTTTTGTAAATTCATATGTCAGAATGCGTCGTAAGTTTGAGATTTATTATTTCTGACAAATATTTTAATATTTAAATAAATAGCATAACAGAGCAATGAAGAAAAATCTATTGCCAGATACCTTCAAAGCTGTTCGTTATCATTTCTTTTCATCAGTTATTTCACTGTTACTATAATTTAGACATACGGTCTCGCTTAATTAGCGTATTCTGTGGATTAATCAGTATGTTCGTGGGGATGAGAGTGTACTTAAACTGTAGTTATACCACAAATTAACCTCTTTTTCTTACACTTCGGCTATAAACAAGTAAACTTTCATTAATGTTCTAATATTCCATTTGATAAGTAGTAAATTATTGATTTCTTCTGTACCCAGACGTGTTCATCAATGGGTATTGTGATGCCACTTGAACAAAATAATAGATAGCTAGTTCTTCTAATAATCATCTACATGAATACATGTTGTCTATTGGTGGTATAAGAAAGTCGTGTTCTTCTTTGACAAAACGATATTTTTATATTCCTTTCGGTCAACAAAACTTTCAGGACTTTACAGAACAATTCGAAAAAATTCGGAACGGAACAAGCGGGATTCGGGACACAGAAAGGTTTGTCCCACAGAGCTCTAGTCGAAATTCAAATAAAGAAGGCTAGACAGCTATATCACATTATATGTATCAAATAGGTACAAAGTATAAGCGAAGAAGCATTAAATATAGAAAAAATTAAAGGAGAATACATGCTCATTTCGTTAGAATATTTTGAATATTTGAATTGATCGTGCTTTGAAAATAGATTCGAGGATGAGAGTGTTGAACTCGATTGTTTGTTGATTAATATTATTTTGCAAGAATTCTTATGACGTATTACAACTTGTGGTTTGAATTTCTGCATTCAAGAAGTCACTAGATGCAGTGTAGATCTTCGTTTTTGGCTCAGTAATTCTGTCTTAAGATAATGACGTTCCAACTTATTATACAGCTTGTCTCTCAAATGATTTTCCTATCCATGTTGCCAATCTTATATATTTTTATGTGCATATTTACATTGACTACTCTTTCTTGCTTTGACGTTGCCAATATTTTCTTTGTAAATGGGACTGTGTAATCGTCATATGAAATGAATATCAATAAGAACAACGTTCTTTGTATGAATATAAAAACGTTGCTAGTTCTTGAACACAGCCAAAAAATAATAAGAAAGGGTACGAAGGTGGAAGTATCCTGTTTTGTTCTCCTTTTCATGGTAGGACAGAGTAGAAAAAGTTACCTTGTGTCCATTTCTGTTTTATATCAATTTTTTTATAGATGCAAACTGTCGCGATATACATTGAATTACATATAATCACTGAACTTCTATACTCTTATAGTTTAAGAACGATGCTATCATGCTGTTGTCTTTACTTTCTTTTCTTTTGTCCTTTATACTAACGTAAAAACGTTTTGCTTGCATGGAGAGTATGTAATAACAACAAAAGTCACTCAGAATGACTCCTATTTTTTTGTTCTAACTCTAATATTGTAGAAAGTTTTTTGAATGATATGTTTTGAAAATCTTTTTATTTTTTTATAGTTTTAATATAACGTGTGACCTTCATTATTTAACAAAATAAGTTCATTTTGAATTTACATTTATAAGAGTAAAATAGTTATCATTGATATACTATGTCAATATTGATAAAAAAAGGAAAGCCGAACACATTTTACATGTCACAATAAACGAAATGACGCTGTTTGATTTACTTGTTTTAACTGCAACAATCCTTTCTGTTCAATCAGTAATAACAAAAACTCCAAGTGGAGATATTCTTGGTTTTACATCGAATAATGTCGATATTTATAAGGGTATTCCTTATGGACAATTTTCAACACGTTGGTCATCAGCAACATTACCTAAATCATGGACTGATACACTTAATGCAACTGAATTCGGACCGATTTGTCACCAATCTGGTCCATTTAAACTACCTCTACCATTAGTAGAAAGTGAAGATTGTCTCTTTCTAAATATCTGGGTACCAAACGGAAATAATTCATTATTACCAGTACGTGTATGGTTACATGGTGGTGGTTATACAGCTGGTTTTAGTAATGATTATGATAGTGAAAATCTTGCTCGTTTTTCTCAATCAATTATTGTCACAATTAACTATCGTCTGGGATTGTTTGGTTTTTTTCCTTTACCAAATTTAAATACACGTAATCTTGGATTGATGGATCAACAATTAGCATTACAATGGGTACAAAAAAATATTCCATCATTTGGTGGTGATAAAACAAATGTTATGATATTTGGTGAATCAGCTGGTGGTAGTTCTGTTCTTGCTCATTTACTTATGGAATCTAGTTGGCCATTGTATTCATCGATTGTATTAGAATCAGCTGGACCTTTTCATTTTTCTGATTGTAAAGAAAATGAAAGAGTGAATTTAAAATTAATTGATATAGCTTTTCCAGAATGTCAATCAAATTTAACTTGTTTTCAAAAGATAGATGCTTCGAGACTTTATCAAGAACTTACAATTAATTGGATAAAATTGTGGCCTTGTATTGGTGAACAATCACAATTACGAGAGCAACCAATAACATTAATTCGAAAAGGTTTATTTAATAAAAAAGCAAATGTTCTTGGTGGTTTTAACGCTCATGAAGGTCAAAGTGTTACATATATATTCAATCAATTTAATATGTCTATTTCTGAAACAAGATATCATGATTTAACTGAACAATATCAAATACCTTCTGAATTAATTGCTAAATATGATCCAACAACAACTGATAAAGATTATTTTAATGCTTTTAGTTGGTTAATTGCTGATTATTATTGTTATTGTCCTAGTTTTTATCTTTTCAATTATCTTGCTACTATTTCATCGTCATCAATTTATGTCTATTTATTTATTCATCCATCTGAAAATTGGATATTTACACCATTACATTTCAATGCTACACATTTGACTGAAATTCCTTATGTATTTCATAATCAATTTGTTGCCACTCAATTAACACCAGCTGAAACAAATCTATCATTAAAACTTATTAAGTATTTTACATCATTTCATTTATCTAAACAACCATGGCCATCTTATAAAATAAATCAAACCATATTGATTTTTGATATTGGTGATCATGGAATAAAAACTCAATTTGGTTATGGTAAACAAATGATTGAAAAATGTTCAGTTGTATTAAAATATTTCGATAGTGATGATTGTCATGCTTATTTAACTGAACAAGAATGTTCAAAAATGAAACATTGTCAATGGATAGGAGATCATTGTGATACAATACAAACATCTTCAGCTCTACAAAATAAACATTATTCTTTCACTTTTTCTATTGTTGTTTTGACTTTTTTAATTAATCTTCTATTTAAATAATTTGAAATAAATTAAATATCGACAGATGGCGTTGACTATCGTGAATGAAATATATCAGAATTGTAAAACATTAGTCTCTGCTTTATATTAGATCTTCTAATGTTGAAGGTGAAAAATCTTTCAACTTAGATTTTTTAATAATGCAGATTTTCAAGCCATCTGAAGAGATCCTTAGCCGGATCGAAACGCGTCATGGTAGCTACCTTGAAATTCTTCAAAAAATTGGATTTTTGTTAAATTTTGCTTTGAACTCACCCACCCACGCCCTCACCTTAAAGCGTTCTATAAGTGGTGGAAACAATATTATACTGATGCAATACTACCAGTTCATAAAGTCAAAGTTCAATTGGTAGCTCAAACGAATTCTACCCTAGAACAATTGTTTATACGAAAGAAACCACCACGAGAAATCTCGATTAAAATTGAAACCACCTAACCAACAACGAATGCAACCGAATTGTTTTCAACGCTAGATACATCATCTCTACTTCTAAGTTCGTTTTTTTTCTCTTTCTCTTGGAACCTTTTGTATTTTATTCGACGAATAAAACAGAAAAACCATACCTCATCCATTGAAAAGACTGAAAAATATAAAAACTATCCCGTCTCCTTAGCAAAACCAGATACCTCATGTAGCATCGACACTTCCCAACGTATAAGTGCCACTACTTCCCTTTGAGATAGTGAGTATTCGAAAGGCGTCGTATGATGCTTTGAATCTAACTTTTGTAAACTCACCCTCACTCTCGTCCTCAACAGTTGAAACGCGTCTTGGTAACTCCTATACACCTACATCTTGGCCCTCAAATCTCTACCTTTCGCTCTCTTTTGGATACAATTATTACAAATGCATACCCTATGAAAATATTGTTATGAATCGTTTTTCTTCAAGATTCAAGTACATTATAAATAAGATCGAGTCAATCGTTGTATTTCTTTCATCTATTGGAAAAAAATTAAGATTTACTTTCGCCCGATGTAGCAAACACAATCCGAATTTTTCTTTTTCTTCTCGAAAAATGAAGTAGCCTACTCATTCGACTGCAAAAAATATTCCGGAGTGTATAAAATATGTGTCATTTATGCTGGATTTTCAAATAACAAAACGGTAGATCAATGGCTAATTAAACTAAGAAAACTTGGAAAACGAGTTTGAGCATAGTACATATAAATGATCTAGCGCTAGATCGTGAAGAAAAACATCAGCTAGAAACATCACTTATATTTCAATTGAAAATGGGCATGAATATTACTATCGGTAATATATCTACAGCAAGAGAGAAAAAGTAGATTTTGACATTCCAAATCTCTCAAAATCTTTCGAAATCTTTTAAAATCTTAAAATTATAGATGGGTCACTTACATTTATTTAAAAACAAGTTCAAGGTAGTCACTTAATACTTAATACTAAGTGTTCAGTTTTTCTGTTTGATACTTAACTCATTAATATTAAGTGATAAAGTGATTTACATGAAGAAAATACTCTTGTATATCCATTTTTCATCAGCGAACACGGTTTTTCTCACTAAGGAAAGAGTATTTTCAGAAAATAACTATTTTTTTTATAATACGTGACCGAAGGGTGTGGGTGTGATTGCTTACTTCTTTGACACCCACACCCATATTGTTTTTTTTCCTTTCTCGAGATATTGAGAAAACAATGAACAGAAGTGCATATAAGCGATAAGAGAACTATATGATTTTTATGCTGACTCCGGATAAGTTTTACATTATTACTCAGCAAGACTTCGATCGTTCCAGCTGAAATTTTTGTCAGAAACAGAATATTAGATTGGTAGTCGTTTGATATAATTTTCGCTTCGAAACATCTTATTTGAGAAAAACAGACATGTCTGATTCTTTCGTGTGTGAATCATGTATTTCTGGTACAAAAGTGAACAACAATATTTGAGGCAAAAGTCCGTCAAAACTCTTGAAAAACAGTTTTATTTTGTTACCAAACGCTTCCATGCAAAATTCTGCATCTAGTAAACAATACACCGACCAAAATTAACGTATGGCCCAAAAATGGCTCTTATAAGTCCCCGTTCTTTCTGTGTGATCAGTGGAATTAATCTTGGCGCCACTTGTTTTTTATTACATGAATACCATCATAGAGCAGGAAAGTGAAAAATATAGATCGATAGACCGGTCGATCCAAAACCCAGACCGGTTCCGAACTGGACCGGCCGGCTACCGGTACCGGTTCCATCTCTGATCCAGTGAGTACTAGCAAATATACGTTATCTTTGATAACATAGCATTCTGCAGAATTCTACTCCGAATTCAAGTATATCAAAACAGAATACATTGTCTTTGATAACACAGAATTCTAGACAGAATATAAACAGACCAGAAAAGAAAGGTACTATCCTTTGATCGCTATGTCGCTGAAAGCTGGTCTTGTGAAACATAGAATTCTGCTGAGAAATAAGAAGGTAACAACAGAATTCTAGGGTATGGTAATGGACGCGTTTTAAAAAAGTACACAAAATCCACAGAATTATGAATTCTGCTTAGTAGAAATTCTGAAATTGCTGTTAAAAACAGTTCTTTAGTATCTGAAATATCATTTTTAAGATTCATTTGTTCTATGAATCACAAATATACCATTTTAGTTAATGTGACCCAAGCAACTATTGGTATATTGTCACAAATTGAAATTTCGATTTCATCATGCGCACAGTGTCATCGTGTATCTACGCTTAACAGATCTTTGGCCACTTATTTCAGATATATAGTTAAAAAGTTGGATTTATTCATATGTAATCTTCGAGAGAGTGCACGAACAAAAGTTTCTTTCACTCATCGATCAGTTTTTGCCATGTTTTCTGCATATGCAACAGACGAAAATAAAATAAATTACTATGCTCATCGAGTGACCTATACAGAACCATGGAATTCCACGACCAAAATTTAATGCATGTTGATTACAATTGATTATAACATATTTACTCAGGTCGAAAGACCAAAAGATGCCCTGAAAAGAATATAGATTTACGTTTTAGCATCTTATTTCGAATATTTATACGCACAATAATACCCCAGATGAGGATAAAGAGCATTGAGATTATTGTTATAACCAAGGCGCTGAATAGCAACTGTATGTAACTGCTGCTTTCATTATGTCTTCTTTGAATAACAACTAGAAGCTGAAGATTGCAAAACAATGAAGAGAGTAGAATATAAAAAATATTTTCAATGAAGATGGCTTACGAGGCCAATTATCATCAAGTAAGTGCCTAATCCAACTGTGCCTAAAACCACTGACCAGACAGGTAGTCGAGGTTCCGTCGGGCAATCATGCATGTACATTCCGCCAATGATTAAACCGGTAAGAAAAGTTGGTGTCGCACATAGACAATTTATTAGTAGAAACCAGGCAAGACCAATGTTCAATATTTGTTGCATTTGTGGCATTTTATGATATAAAGTTTCAAACAGATAGCTGTTCAGTAGAGGAACTAAAACAGAAGCAAAATATCAAAATAAGCTTCACAAATACAATCAATACACTTGTATTTCTTCGAATACGAGCGTCTTGAACGATATCGTCACCTAAATCCTGTATACCCTTTACTGTTTCACAATTTTGTGTGCGAAAGAATTTTGAAGTCGAAACAAATGATGAGAATGAGTTGATATGTGCAAACCAGAGATGGACAAAATCGCACCGCGCCTCCCCGCGCTTCCCCGCGCCACTGCTCGCGCCTAGGCGCTACGCACATCTCTCTTTCTCTTTGCTCTACCAATCAGTTTCTCAAACTCCACCGAATACCGGGATGCTCTAAGCATGCGCTCATCGAAGCTCAGACTAGTGTAGCGTTGGCGTGAGCAACGGCGCGGGGAAGCGCGGGGAGGCGCGGTGCGACTTTGTCCATCTCTGGTACAAACAAAGAAGAAACTCGTCTGTTCCTTCAAGGCACCCCAAAATGATTGAAGCAGTATATCAAATCTTGTCAAAATAAATAATTTTGAAGTTTCTAATATTGTATATGCGGAGAAGCAGATCAATTTTTCACATGAAACTAACGGTACACCGATAGTTGAGCACCCAACATTTGAGCTTCAATAGATTATCAACGTAAAACATTGTGCGTATGACTGTGACTGTGGGTGGGCTATGACTGTGGCTGTAGGTGTGAAAAAACTGAGAGCGACAACCACACAAATACCCACATTACACATCTATGCACCCACGCCAATACCCATAACCTCAAGTTCCATATGAGAAGCTCAAATGTCAGGGAGCTCAAACCCTAGTCTCAATCCTGCTCATTCCTTGAGAAATCTTGGAAGGATCTGTTAGGATCCTGAGTGTTAAGAATCCTGCCAAGTTTTGTTCAGGATCCTATGTCGAATTCTAATAAATTCTCTTTTCAAGAGTTTTCAGGGTTAAACAGGATTCTGCTCAGGATTTCCTCAAGATCCTGTCCAAGTTTTTTTTGTACACTTAGAATTCAGGATTCTGTCAGGCATCAGACTCGATTCTATCTATGATTCTGACAGGAATAGCAGACAGGATTTTGTGAAGTTCTGATCAGGATCTATTTTGGATTCGGACACGGAAATTCTTTCAAGAATTATCGCTAAATTAGAAGAAGATTTTAAGAAACATACAACGCTAAAATGTGGGTCGGGATGCGAGTTAGGATACGATTAACATAAACTTACATCTACACCGAAACGTACACGAAAGACTTGCAATTCGTATCAATGTAGTTAAAATCTGGAATATTTGATGGTTACATATTTCTTTTAAGAATTACGGTTTCCTGAATGGTTTGTTATATAACATTAGTGGTAATTCTATCAGGATCCTGATTGAATCCTACTAGGATCCTGAAACTCCATGATTACATGTTTTTTTCATGATCTAATTATTTCCTTAAGGAGACACTAGGAATCCAATGAGTATCCTTTTTGGCTTCTTAAAGGATATGGAACCACAATATGAAGGTCTTTCGCTAAAATACTGAGTTTTATCCTAATGATGATTT